ACTACAGAAGTTGTTCCAGGATGTCAAAGAGGAATGCTTCTTTTACCTATATATGTATTCTAATACCCAATCTATCAGAATCAGCAATAATTAGGACAGATGATGCACGGGACGTCCAAAAATCTGAACTTGAACAGCATCTGCCCTGATGAAGAGAGGAGCCAATGACAAATGGAGCCTAGTTGAGTGGTAACAAAAAGGAAATCAGGCACTCATTGGCCATGTCTCTCCCCACACTAAGATTCACAAACATGAGGACTACTCTGAAGAATCACTGAGGACGGGCTCAGCTGCTCCCCAATGCTGAGTGCTCTTCAAAGCCAACGAGAGGCAGCTGCACGAGCAAGAAACTGCATTTGGATATACAATTATGAACCTGAAAATGATCTTAATATGGCCCCTTTAATAGGCTAGTTAGGCAGCATTATATAAAAACATCGAACCCATAGAGCTTCATTCCACCCTGCATAGCTGGGTAACATGCAACACATACTGTGCGATAATACGGAGAAGTGTTTACATGTGTTACACAAAGAGATTGCCAACAAGTGGCTGAAAGAGATTACAGATGTTTTCCAGGACATTAAACGTAGTTTTGCACTCTTGCAGGCTAATCCAACTCACACTTTCCAGCTTTTAACTTGATCAAATTAATGGTATTTTCCAATTTGAATATAGTTTGAATGTCAGGAAATCAAATTACAAGTAGGATCTTAGTGGTGGTGGGAAGTCATGCAACCATGGCATACTTTGTTTATATCCTAATGTTCCCTTCACATGTCTCGTGGTTGCATTTACATTTCAAATATTTGAAAGATATCATGCACAGGCCCTTAAATAAATGACTGTATATCTTATATTTGGTGATTGATAAACAATAAATAATTTGTGACAGTCAACCAAACACCTAAATCATCAAGATCTACTTTCAACATGGATAAATATTGCAGGAAAACGCCAGCTCCACTTCTCATACTACAGTTTCTTTGCCATGGTTGAACTTTTGACCTGCAGACATCATTAAGACAACTGCCAGAAGACGCATGCATTCAATCCTGGACCTCCTTTCTGTAGGGTGAATAACACGGAGCCTCCATAAAACACAATGTTTTCTGTTTCATGCTACATCTGCAGGATTATTACAAAGAGCACTAAAGGCATCTTGTGACTATGGTTAAATTGCTTTTTAAATGAAGTTATATTTTAATAATCCCCCGTGGGAGGAATTGTCCCTCTCCATCTTAACTATTAAACAGAGGTCAGCGACAGTGCAGCGCCTGGGGCAGTGCTTCAGTCAAAGGCAATGAATGAACAGCCCTATGACTTAAGAAAAACTAACCTGAAAGAAACGACGCAAACACAGGAATATATGCAAACTTCACACTTCTTTCTGCAAAAAGCACCAATAGATAAGCACCCATGTAGAAAATAAGCATTCAAAGCGTATCTCCTGTCTAGTTATTCTAAGCTTGCTTCATTGACACCTAGTTACTGGTGATACAGTGACCTAGATCTGTCAGAGAAGTTGAACCACAGCTATCTGCATGTAGAGAGCAACAGAGACGCAGCTAAGGCGACAGACAGGGTAGTCTAACAAAACTAATACGCTTTGACCAGACATATTAAAAGCAGACTCAAATACAAAAGTTTTGAGAGTCCACATTCTGGTCCGTTACCCATGTTGTTTTTATGAGCCTTTTATTCTCATTGGCAAGCCCAAGAATATTTTCAATTATTCAATGTGAGTATGGATGGTCAATTATTAGACTACTAGAATAACAAATGGATACGCTAATAGCAGACCTACGCTATCGAGCTAGCAATCAGCAGCTTGCCAAATGTGTTGTACTGTGCTCTGCATCATTGGTTGGTCTAATATCAGCATTATTGTTATGCTGTATGCCACTTTAAAAATCCAAACTCTGGTTATTAGCATATTCATTACTAGCCCCCTCTATGGAAAGCCTTGAGCTGCAAAAAAAAATTCCTTGCACTGTTACAATATCATAACAAAATTACCCAACATAACAGTATTCAATGCCATGTTAGCTACATGATATATCTGACTCGTGTCACCGTCAGACTGCAATAACCTGCACATGCAGACATCTGAGGCTGGACCGGCCCATGGCTGTGTGCATATTTAACCAGGAGTAGTACTCCTACAAGAGTAGGACAGTAACAGGAACATTTGGCAACAGACGCTCACTATGTGGCAAGATCGGGTTTTTGAGGGTGTCGACCGTTACTGCCACCATAACAACCGAAAAATAAATGAATTGCGTAACGCACAGAATAACTTGTGCCATGCAAATTATTATTTTAGCATGGCCCATAATAAATCTCACTGCTTTTTTGACACAAAGGACTTTTTTTATGTAAAGACTGGGCTGTCTTAAGCTGGGGTTTTTTAAGGCCAGAATGCCAACCAAAGCACAAAAAACACCTGGTAATTAAATTAACAAATTGTGTGCAAAACCATTGCATTAGTTTAAAAATATGTTAGGAAGAAACACACTAGTTCATGAGCTTGTTCTGCTTTGAAAATGGGAAGTGCACAGTTTAATGCAAGCCTCATACACTGTCCATATTCTCTAGCAAGTATGGCAGATAAGACCTTGCTGCTGTTCCTGTGCAGCTAATGCTAATTAAATATCCACACTTCCTAGGTATCCCACACCACCTAGCGAGCAGATCCGCGGATGCCCCTTCACACCATGAGCTGTCAACAGCACCATCTCCTCCACATCACCCGTTTTTCAAGATAATATCACAAAAAAAGGACTAGCTTCAATGTTAGCCCTATCATGTGTTGTGCACAGGTATCATGAGTGTGTTTAACATGTAGCTTTCCAATAACACAGCACATGCAGAGCCAAACAGGGCCATTACAAACTGTAAACAAAGGACCTAGACACCGCCTATGTCAGCAAGAGGAACACATATATACAAAGAGCAAAGACCCGAGAGGATAATGAAGATGCACAAAAGCAACACAAAAGATTACGAGCAATATATTCATATCAGATGGGTTATAGCTATCGGTGTCACTCCGCCATGTCCCGCCATCTTGGACAGGCAGCCAGCCATTGGCGTTACTTGTAACGTTATCAACTCCTTCACAAATGAGCAAAATAGGTGATTTGGTGCATTCATTCAGCAGTGCAATGTCCCCCAAAACAACCTGACTGACTGTTAAGGAGACACCATATCAATGCAAATGCTACGGATAGAAGCTAGCCCATAATAACGTAGAGGGGTACAGCTGTATTTGGTGCACACTGAACAGGGCTACAGCGTTACTTCCACAAACAGTCACATAACGACATGTATATGTTTAAATTCAGATGTGAGAGTATAACGCTTGCAACGTTATAATAGCAATGCACTTTCCTATTTTTCCAGTCAAAAATGTGCTAGTACACCAAACCATGACGACGTTGTGTTGCTGGTTGCAAGTGCATAAGGATACACAGGATAAAGTTAGCTATGAAGCTAACAGGGAAGGGCGGCTGCGTAACAGACGTTAACATATGTTTATAGCAATGTAGTAGCATGAAAATGGGGATAGCAACTCGGCTAGCCGCAGGTGCAGGATCGCTGTTCATCGGATGCTAACTAGCATGCTAGCTGACAGGCTAATAGAGGGGCTGCGGCTATAGCTGGCCTTTCCTTAGCGAGTGGGCCTGGGCTTGCTACTATGAGAGCAAATACACTGCCGTGCATAATAGTTGAGAAGTGGGTCCCAGGGATTGGGGTGTTGCTTTATTGTGTAAAAATACATCCAGTTTAGATATGCTACCTTCATCAACAGGGCCTTCGTTCTGGCGCCATCTTCATGAAGCTTCTGAAATCCAAACAGTGAGCTGCAAGCGAGAAGACAACACACTCAGAGCGGATCAGAAACATGATCGGCATGCAAGGAAAGAAAACAATCAATTTAAATAAAGTGTGTGATTATGTGACTGCACGGGGTGTACTGTTCCGACCTGTCGATCCCGGCCAAACTGTCCCTCTCCTGGGCTGTCAGTGTCGGAAAGTCCTCCTCTGTTTCACTCGCTTTTCCCGCCGCCATTTTCTTTCCCTCATCACCACTAGAAGAAGAAGCCGAGCCGAGACTCCGAGCAGCAGCGCAGGCAGCGACGGCGACAGACACACCGCACGATTGCATGGAAAAAATCGCGACGCGGGGACAAACGCTTTGCTCCGCCGAATCAAAGAAGAAAAACTGAAAAAAAAAACAGACGATCAAAAACTTTTTCCCAGGATGAAAAGATGCGATTCGATATAGTAAATCCTTTCGGGGGGACACAAGCGCTCTCCGGGTAGCTCCTCAAACGTCACATTTTTCATCACAAAGTGATAATGTGCCGCTATTTGAATGCGAATAAACTGGTTATAGTATCCAATATGTGAGTATTTCACAATAAAATGCGTTTCGGCCGAGAAGATAAAGTTGTTATAATTGTGTCACCCAAGCGAACCCACGCGCCGCTCTAGCCACGCCCTCTCCCCCCTCATCAGCCAATGGGAGTGCCCGAATCCCACCATATGACTTCCCTGCTTTATCGTTCTTTAATCTTAAATATTCATTTTTCTCCCTGCAAACCACTCATTTTTAATTCCACGATTATTTAAGAAGCATATTCCAAAGTATTTATTCAGGGTGTCACTTATGTGCATAAAAGGGAAATATCTTAGTTAAAAAAAAACATGATAACATGTAATTTCCTATTCAGTAATATGAATGAACACTTGGGTGTCAGTGCAACATTTTCCCTTTCAGACTGGTTAATAAATGACTGCAATGCATCATTTGTTTCTGCCTTTCACACCATAATGTGTATGCACTTTCAAAGTACCATTATAATTCATTTGACATTTTTCTCATCCATAGAAAAAGTTGCAGCATTTTAATAATAACGCTGCTAAATTGCTAAGCATAATCAAGCCAGATCAGAGCATTTGAACTGACGTGGCAGAGCGTCATCGTGTGGGCGTTGCTTAGCATTGTCAACATCCTGATGACGTAACCAGTCTCTCCAAAATGGCGACAGTGGACCAGAGAGAGGGTAGGTGATGTTGTTTGGGAAAAATAATGCGGTATTACCATAAAACATATTGAAATGTGAACTTGTTACAACAATAAGAATAATATAAGGATGAACTTTTCATTTGAAGAAATAAGAATGTGAAAATTAAATAAAAATGAAAGCTTGTCTTTACGATATTGGGTTGGTAGCCATTTAGTGCTAGCTAGCTAATGTTAGCTTCCCAAGTCATTTACATAGAATAAACAGGAAGCATTCTCAGCCTGTGCTAGCCGAACTGCTATTAAAGTTGGTGTTATATATTTGAAGGGTCTTGTTTACTTGTTGGGGTTGAACATCCACTCTTAGGGTGCTGTCAGTGCTAAAACAGTACCATCATGTAAGAGCTCATCAGCAGTGCTGGACAGTAACTAAGTACATCTACTCAAGTAATAATTATACATTTAATTTATATAGCGCTTCTCATCTGCCAAGACAAATCTCGAAGCGCAAGTATTGTACTTTACTTGAGTATTTCCATTTAGTGCTCCTACTATACTACATTGCAGATGCAAATGTTGCACTTTTTACTGCTAGTAACATTGTACATATAAAAACACATGACATGCTAATATGGTAACATGCTACTAATCTACACAGTTTTTCAAGCATCAATGAATGATAATACAATACCCATCAAATATAATACTGTAAAGTTAGTCTTGTGACAATATATCTAAATTACTACTTGGCTGCTCTTATTGTAGCAGGTCAGGGGGACCCAGAGAGTGAAGACGAGCTGTATGAGGTGGTGGACCTGACAGAATATGCCCGGCGGCACCAGTGGTGGTGCAGGGTGTTCGGCAGCAACTCCGGCCCGATTGCTGAGAAGTATTCTGTGACCACCCAGATCGCGATGGGAGGGGTGACTGGATGGTAAGGGACAAGGATCTATCTGCTCATGGCTGACATCTTTAACAACAAAGACTAAAGTAATGTCCACAAACCTGATTCATTATTGCTTGAGGAACTAGAACATTACTATGTCAAGATCTTCCAGCCAAGGATGCATGATCTACATCTCTTCCTCTCACACATCCAGGTGTGCTGGTTACCTCTTCCAGAGAGTCGGGAAGATAGCTGCCACTGCTGTTGGAGGAGGGTTCCTTCTCTTACAGGTTAGAGCCCGAGTAGTTACATCTCATAGAAAGTGCGTCATTTTGCAACATTCACATTTCCCCATTGTAAACTGAAGATGCCAGCTCTACGGCATGACGCTCAGCTGGTCTCCTCTCTGCAGCAGAGAGACTAGCATTGTGTGTCAGCTGGCTGTAGATGCACGCAGGCCATCTGGGCGCCTATTGCGTGTGCAAATAAAACTGTCTCTTTTTGCCGTTTTACAAATAGACTTTTACTTTATTCTTAGAGCTCTTTTATTTTCAGTCTGATATGATCATTTATTTGAGTCAATTCTACAAATGAAATATTGTTCCCCTAAAATGCATTTATGTATTTAAAATATAAATACAGATCGCCAATCACAGTGGCTACGTGCAGGTGGACTGGAAGAAGGTGGAGAAGGATGTGAACAAAGCGAAGAAGCGCCTGAAGAAGAAAGCGAACAAAGCAGCGCCTGAAATAAACACTTTCATTGAGGAGGTAAAGGTACCTGTGACAAAGCTTGCTCTTTGTTTCCTGCTTTCTGCACATCTTTAAATGACTGACACTACTGTATGCCTCCATTTTAATAGAAAAAGAGCACCGAGCCACACACCAGAAATAACCTTATTTAGACCTAAATGCATGTGTTGGTCCTGATTGTTGGTGGGGGCTCATTTCTTTATCTGCAAACCAGCACTGCCCTCTAGTGGTTTGTCAGCTATATTACACCCAGTAGCTGTGACACAGCAGACTGAAGAGAGATGGTAGATCAAACGTTTTGTATGTCTCCATTCTCGGTTTGTATTAAAGGCTGTTCCAAATGTAAGTTTTAAGCTTCACTTTACATTAATACTCTCATTCTAAATACTGTTAACTCATGTTGTCTTTTCTCCTGCACAGGCCTCAGATTTTATAAAAAGGAACATCGTTTTGTCCAGCGGGTTCGTCGGGGGGTTCTTTCTGGGTTTGGCCTCCTAAAGCTGAACAGCCTCCACTTCCTGTGAATCATCTCTACATAGGTCAATATACTCTCCATTGTTGACCTCAGCTTTATGTGCATTGATTCACCTTTTAACAAACTGAACAGGAGGGGTTAAGTTGAACATTAAAGCATGATCTGTTGTATTCATTGTGTTACATTGTTCTCCTCCCCATGAATCAATCATAGCTAATTATTTCTGGACTGTGAGCACAGTTTGAGGTGCGTTAAGTTGGGATTGGAGTGGACTATACTGTGAACACTTTCTTCTTTAAGGAATATTTGCCCAACGATGCTTTTTCAACACTAATCTGGATTGCCCTTCCCCTCATGCATTCGCCTGGTGGACGCTGATTTCATATTGTTATAAATTAGCATGCATGGGCGCCACTGTAAATACATAACCAAAGGTGAATATTATATAAACAACATGGGAAGACAGCAGAGTGGGAAGTTAACACCATCCCCCAGTCTGGTGCTTTTTTTATGTCACTGCGAGATGTATGTGCCATATGGCTGTGGGAGTTTAAAAAAGAAACTCCACTCAGAAAGAGTTATGAATATACAACACATCTCATGAGGGGTAAATCCAATGTCTGTGAATGTTCCTACACTGACAATCTTTTGTTCCCATAATCCTCAGCTCCACAATGCCCCATAATGACAGGATGAGCATCTGCTGCACCCTAATTACACACCAAACAGTCCTGTCATTAAGGAGCGGCGACTTCTGACTCCCGCGCACAGCCCCTCGCTTTTGTCAGTGTGCATTTATTAGTGTCAGTGTCGCAGTTACAGAAAGAGACGGTGCAGTCGTGCGTGTTCACATTATCTAGACAGGTCGTCCACACATGAGTCCAATAGGTTGATCACGAGTTGCTTATTTTTATATTTTTCAGCCTTTTACTTCCAGTGCAATATACAGTATTACAGATGTGGGTTTTTGTCTAACTGGCATTTGTATTGCTCATACTCCCTCATTGTTTCTATTTCATGTTTGTTATGTATGCGTGTTTCTTTTAAATAAAGTTGCCTGATATTGTTTTGAATTTAAAAAAAATGTGTGTTACTGGAAACTGCCGCAAGCTATTTATACCTTCATGCTACGTTACGTATTTATATCCCTATAAAGGAGGAGAGGGGTTTTGCAGCATCTGGCAATTAAACAGTGACTGAGTTCAATAACCACCGTGTCCAATTTGATGGTGTGTAAAGAGTACATTTAATAAATGTAGAGCTAGAACATTGCTTTAATTTAGTAGATGTAGATTGACTGAATTAACCTTGAGTTCACAGATCTTAAAAATAAATATGAAAAAGGTATTGAATGAGTCTAATAATCAGGTATCCATTTGTACTAAAATGTCGTATCAATATTTCTTAAAAATATCTAGACAGATTATTGAAACCCTGAATATCAACTGTACAAGTAAAACACTGTTAGCCAGTAATAATACAAATAAAAACATTCTCTACAGCCACAGATGTAACAAATACCATGCATCAGTCAAACCTGCTTTTTAACTTTTATTTACACTTAGAAAATGACACATTTATACAAACAATGGGACACAAATATATACGGTTTGGCATTTACAAAAAGGAGAAGAACCTACATGTTTGCAGCAGAATAGACAACATGGTAAACAAGGAACACGTTATCTCAATACTCAAATCATAATTATGAAAACGAGATTTCCTCAATTGAAGAATTTTCTATTTGGAAAATAGTTGTTTTACTACGAAAAAAGATGGTTGGCTGATCTCTGTATTTAAAAAAGGTGATTCAAGCAGTTTTTTGGGAGGAAGAATGTGTTCTGTGACATGCTGCTATTGCGTCTTTACCGTGTCACTCAGATGGGCATTTTGAGGAGAGCGCACTCTGTCAGAAGCATCAGCGTGGTGATCATGTACTTGCTGTTGGAGAACTGTAACAGAAAGGAACAAATATTAGTACGATTACATTTACTGTGTTACTGAAAAACAGCTGTTTCTGTCCGACGGTACCTTGATCCTTCCGCTGCTCTTGGCTGATCCCAGAGCTGTGGAGACCTCGTTCAGCCTGCCTGCAGACAGATCCAGTCTGAAGTGCCTGAAGAAGTGTCCCTTCAGCCCCTGCATGAAGCTCATCACCTCCTCAATGTCAATACTGTTCTCCCCCCCCTCCCCCGCTGTATTCTCCTTCCTCACACTGCTCCACAGCTGCCAGGCGTCTTCAGCGTCCACCGTGTATGTGACCTGCAGCTGAGGCTCTACTGGAAGAGTCCAGATCATTTTGAGCTGCCGGATGCTGGACTCTTGTTGGCAGTTAGTCCATAAAGCCATCAGCCACTGGAGGCTCGTGTGGCTGATTTCCAGAGGGCCAAAGCAGCAGTCGAAGGATTGTTGGAACCAGGATTTGACCAAAGAGGTGAGACCCCCGGCCTCGCTGCTGCAGAAGAGCGGCAGGCAGACGAAGTCCTTAGGGAGGGAGCGCAGGTACTCCAGGTTTCCGTTGATGCAGGTCAGCCAGCCGCTCCAGACTGGCCTCTGTGGCTCGTCCTGCCTGGCAAACAAGGGCTTTGAATGGATCTGTGGGGGGACAATGATCCGTTAGAAACAGCACAAAGCATACAACGTAAATAAATACAATGTGGGTCCATTTAAAAAAATGAAATAGACCCTATTTTGCTCCTTTTCAGGTTCATATTATTAGTGTTTTGTGCCACTACTACATGTGATTATTAAATGAATGATGTGGAATATACTGCCCCATGTGTAATTTGTATGCGAAGGTGCATTTCTATACCTGAATGAGGACGGTCACAGCATCATCAGCTGACTCAGTCATCTCCTGCAACAGAGAGAAGGAGACTCTGAAGGGGTTCTGTGTTCCCTCCACATCCACCGCCATACCTTGCAGCTTCTCTGCAGCAATAAACGCAGACAGCTGCCTGGAGTAGCTCTTCAGCTGGGTGTGCCTGAACTGATAGAGAGGAGTAACATACGACAGCTTCCACTCAGTCTTGACCAGTAAGGCCAGCTGCTCCTTCGTAACCTTTTCCTTGACAAGGAAAGGAAAAAGAAGGTGAGCATCCTGTGTCACATTGTTATTAATTGCATGTTTGATGGATTGAAAACATGGAGAACAATAGCCTGGGCTGACTCACAGTGATTTTGTCAGACTTTGGAGCCTTTCTGCTGGTGTTGAGCCTCCGTCCTGTCAATCCTGGAGTGAAGGCGAGGCGGGAAGCGGCCCCTATGCCGCTGCGGTACGACAACCGGTAGCTCTTGCTTTTACTCCTCCTCTGAACTGCTACACTGTTGAGGGGAGTCCTCGTCACACTGGAAATCACAGACAGATCATCACATCAGCTTCACCTGGTGTTATTGTGCCTGTTAGTTATACAGATAGTCTTTTTAAAAGAATCAAAGTTGTGCTACAAGAATCCCTTTCTATGTGTAAAGTTGTACTAGTGAGCATGTTCTTTTATGTTCTGTAAACCTATATAATGAAATAACACCCTTGTATAGCCACGTGTCAATCCCACAATGAGGATAGTCAAAAGATCATGGGTAGATATTACCACCAAAGTAGCAACAGACAACAAAGGTAACATAAATACCCCAGTGGCTTTAGTCCTGGGTCTTTAAGCTGACGACCATAGTGAGTAATAGAGAATTAGGACAGTATTTTTGGGCATATTATACATGCCGAATTGAAAAGTGGAAGCAAAGGAATTAGAAAATATCTTGTATATAGTTTGAACAAATTGGTATCTGGATTAAAAGGCAAGAAAACATTAAATGGTGGATGATTGTATGTAACTCGGTGTTACACGCTCTTCATACGGAAGTGAACGGCAGCTATCGGTGCTAAAAGAGTCGTTATTTACGGCGGATTAAAGTGCGATGTATTTGATGTTTCAAAAGAATACATAATTAAAAGAAAACGTTTTTCTAGCAAGAAATGCAATAGAGTTGTACCTGTTATGATGTCGCTCCATGTCTGGCGTTTCGACAGCAGCAGACAGAAACCGGAAGCAGATTTAAATGTCGCGCTTTCCCAGCAGTCTCATGGATGTAAAAGAGCAGTCTGCGCTGTTAGAATCAGCCAATCAGAGCAACCCAAACAGGAAGTGGGTTTTTGTTGTTTTCCAAACGAACATTTTCAAAGTAAAACTAATATAAGACATGACATAAACGGGAAGGTTTGTGTTCAGAGATGACTTCTGAAATTAAATTGAAGAAAAAGCATGATTGGATCAGCTAAGCGCCTCCTGAATCCTCACGTCCATCCTACAGAGGGGAACAAACATCTGACCCTGGCTGACAGTCACAGCATCAGTGCGATTTGTGGTCTCATTTTCAGACACAATTGACATTTCGTGGGTGTTGATCTCGGAGGGCTGTTTGTACGAATAATACATATCACTCTGTGCTCTTACAGCTGTAATAGCTGAATTATGAGATATTAATATGAAACCAGTCTCCCCATCTCAGTGAGGTGTTAAGGAAATTGTGCAATCAAATGTGTTAACATTCCTAACCTTAGTTTCTCTGATTAGGTCATCTCTCTGGGAGTGAACCTTAAATGTATGTGTGGTCAACAGACGTGTTTAGGGTGTGAGGTTTTGCATACTGTGTCTGAGGGGACGCTGGCCTCCCAGAATGTTGTTGTAATGTAAATCTGCTTTGATGTCCTCTTATAAAGAGAGCCTGTTTTACCCAGAACAGGACATTCTCCGTTGGAGGGGACTTCATACTTGCAAGTATAAAGCAGATTTTAAAGCTGCTACGACAGAGGGATCACACTGGTTTCAAGCTGCTCTGTGTGGTTGCGCAAGTGATTTTATTGCAATATAAATGTATACTGTGACCTCTTTTTGCCACTGAATCCAGATGTTTTGTATAGTATGTCAAAACAAAAAAAAGACAGTTGGCAACAAAGCTACATATGTACATGAGAATCTCCACTCTTGTATATTCAACCCCTTCATTTGGGGCCTAAAAATCACTGCACCTCACAAGAATCCACCTCTCAACCTCCTGTCTTCTAGATCATCACGTATTTCTCTAAGCTATATAATCTGAGATGCTATGAGTTTGTTTTATCGAGCTTTTTAATTGTGTATTTGGGTGGTTTGACCTAAAAAAAAGACACTGCACCTTGTATAGAAGTGGGTCTGTTGGTTTCTTCCAATGTGGGCTGTCCCCCCTATCTAAAAAATGAGTACCGGACATAAGGGGGGACCCGTATCTAAAAAGTAAGTAACAATAAAATAGTGCCAAGATGATGTTGATGTGAGAACATATTTTTATTCCAATTTCCATCAAATAATAACTACATTACTGTAAAGCTAAAATATGATGTAACATCTACACAAACAGTAATGACAGTAATTCCTCTGAGTTCATATTACAGCTTCACACCTAACAGCAAAACAAGTGCCTCATTAGCAGAAGGTTTATAATGTTTACCTGTATAAACTGTATCTTAACACCTCCAAACCACGAGACACAAGTCCAATCTGAGGTGTTCAAAAACAAACAGTAATGATGAAAACAGGTAAACAAGTCACAAAGAGACTCTTCGCGTACTTTAAAGTTTTTCCATGCATTGTTGCTTTCTGCCTTAATGCCATAGAAGAAGAGTTTACTTATTGTTGCTTGAATATTAAGCTGCTAAGAATAAGTTTACTGGAGATATGAGTATTTACAATACAACTCCGCTTCCAAACATCCAAACGTTCCCTTTAAAATAAGTCTTCGGCCTTTTTTAACAATCATTTGAGGAAATTGTCTTTTCACATACATTACAGGGCGACCAATTTATTCTCTAACTATGCTGTGTTGTTAGGCTGGCTACAAACGTATTGGCTTATAAGATGATACAATAATCGTTTTGAGAAATGGTCCTAGGTTCTGCAATTATTAATCAAAATCAATGGAGACATTAACAGATCCCAGATTTAAAAAATCCCCCTACTATTAAGCAAACAGGAAATAATGAAATGAACATTCATCATATGAAAGTCAATTAGGATTTGGTAGTTCTTATCAAAAAGGGTACACGTTTTTCCTCTGATTCTAATGAGCAAGACACCCAAGACCCTTTATGAATAACCAGAGGTGGAAGAAGAACTTAGATATTGTATTTAAGTAAAAGTACCAGAGTGTAGGAATACTCTTTTGCAAGTAAAATTCCAGCAATCAAAATGTTATTCAAGTAAAGTACAGTAAAGTATTAGCATCAAAATACACTTAAAGTACGGGAAGTACTTATTATGCAGATTGGCTCATTTTCTAATGATTTATGATATGTTTTATAATGATTGATCATGAAAGTGTTCTCAAAGCTGGTAAAGGTGCAGCTAGTTTGAATGACTTTGTATACTGTGTATACTTATATACTTGTGAGTTTACTCCAGGTGGAACTAAAGTCTGATTTAAGAGTTGATTATATTTCACATTATTAATCCAGATCTGCAAAGTATTAAATGAATGTAGTGGAGTAAAAGTTCTCTATTTACCTCTGAATTGTATTACAGTAGAATTACAAAGTACCAAAACATTGTACTTAAGTACAGTACTTGACTAAATGTAATGTAATGTACTGTGATGCATTGAAACCAATCAGAAATATACCTAGAATTTAGCATAAAGAAAATCAAAGAAAATCATTCAATGTTAATTTATAATTTGACTGCAGTATTGGACATGGACACTTGTCTTGTAAATCACATGTCTAACTTAAAAGTGGGATGTATCTTTATTTCAAAGCTTCGTGGTGTAGTATATTGTTTTTTTTGTACTTATTTAACTTCACATTTGTCATTTGACCATGTATTAAATGAATGTACCTGTGTAAGATATTCTAGTTATGATTTTATGTATGTCCTCTTTCGTTTTTGAATGGGTTGTATCTCCTTGGTGGTCTTCTGCCCTATTTTCTTTATCATTTTTTGGTTAAGGATGAAAATAAAAAAAGGGAGGGTGATAAAGATGAAGAATATTTTGAGGTTCAGAAGTGACATCATCTCTTAGCAAAATGGGAGGGTGATGCTGAAGAAGGATAAATGAACTGTCCTGTAGAGAGTTTTACCATTTCCTCCCTCTCTCCTCCCTGATGGACAGCAGCAAGGCTTCTCCGCTCTGCTTCCCCAACCTCAACTCCTCCTGCAGGCGCCTGCCTCCCCCCCGCTCTGAGTCCGCTCTGCTCTACACCCTGCTGGCCTTCTTCTCTCTGCTCACAGTGACCCTCAACCTGCTCGTCATCATCTCCATCTCCCACTTCCGGCAGCTGCACACCCCCACCAACAGCCTGCTGCTGTCCCTGGCCGTGTCCGACCTGGTGGTGGGGGCGCTGGTGATGCCCATCGAGGGCCTTCGCTACATGGAGACGTGCTGGCTGCTGGGCCGGCTCATGTGCGCTCTGACTCCGTATGTTTCCTACTGCCTGCTCTCTGCCTCTGTGGGCAACATGGTGCTCATCTCCATCGACCGCTACCTGTCTATCTGTGAGCCGCTGCTCTACTCCTTTAAGATCACCCTGCCCAGAGCCAAAGCCTCAGTGTGTCTGTGCTGGGCCTGCTCCTTCCTCTACAACGGCTGCATTATGATTGGACACTTAGGGCAGCCGGACAGGTTCCAAACCTGCCACGGAGAGTGTGTAGTGGTCATCAGCCACATTGCAGGAATTGTTGACCTGTTTGTCACGTTTGTTGGGCCCTGTACTGTCATGGTGGTTCTGTATATGAGGGTGTTTGTGGTTGCCATCTCTCAGGTGCGTGTGATCCGCTTGCAGACTGTCCCTGCAGCTCCCATCATCAAGATATCAGAGATTAAGGCAGCTAGGACTCTGGGGATTGTGATAGCTGTGTTTCTGATGTGCTTCTGCCCGTATTACTACCCCTCTATAGCCGGCGAGGCCACGTCAAACCTCCTGTCGTACTTTGCTGTGTTGTCTTGGATCATGTTGTTGAACTCCTGTCTGAACCCTCTCATTTACGCTCTGTTCTACCCCTGGTTTAGAAAAGCTATCAAAGTCATCTTCACCCTCAGAATACTGCAGCCTCACTCCCGGGACTTTAAAATCTCTGTGCTTAGTCTTGTTACAGTTATGATTAGACATGCTGTTTGTATAACCCGTATGTGTGTGTGAGTTCTCACGCTCACTGTGTAGTCCTCCATGACAGCGTCAGTCACAAGCACTCTGCAGAAAAAACTTAATAACACATGAAAATGAATGAAGAATATAAAACAGACATGTCATGATTGAATTATGTTTAATCTCTGTGGTTTGCATCGTATACATGTGTTGCTTGTGTCTTTACCAGCTCTCATTAACACTAAGAAACCAGAACAAATAATGCATATTGTGATGAAACTAAACATTTGAATGCTTTGCCAAAACATGCCATGTGTATGTGAGTGGTACATTATATACGATAAACATATGTATTGACTATTAAATTACTATTTAAGTAGACTTATTAAAAATGTTTCTTAGTTCCTTAGTGGGTTTTATTTTGGCAAAATGTCTTCTTAAATATTTAAACTCAGTATAAGTTATTGTCTTAAAAGACTATATAAAAATGCTATCACTGTGATTAAAATAGCTTTTATGTTTTGCTTTCTCTTCACTGTTGCTAAAAACATGATTGAGCTGTTTTAAATTCTGACATAACATATTTTTAATATGCTTTCAAATGAAAAACAAATATAAGCATGTCATTTTCATTGTCTGTCTTGCTACAATTCGGTTCATTCCTGCGAAAAAACATAAAAATAAAAGAGAAATGCATTATTATTATTATTATGCACTTTACTTTGGTGTATTATTCATAGACTTAATTAAGTAAGGGAGGCTTTCTCGTGTGTCTTTATGAAGAATGCCTGCAAAATATAATAGATGAGAATATAGTTGTTAAATTGCATTTCATTCTGCAAAATATAAATAAAAGATCAACAATTATATATTTGACCTGTACCTGTTTACTAAGACAGCAGTGCTTTAAGAGTTTATTCTAGTCATTCAGGTTTATCTGACCCTTAGCAAATAATGGGAGCTAAAATAAAAGTAATCTTATAGCCTGTCCTTTATTATTGATTTGAAAAACATCTTGAATTGTCAAGGGCGTTTACAAGCAAAGTGTTTTTCTATTTCTTTCCAGGAGACAAAATAACACAATCTATTTAAAAGAAGACAAAACTCTCAATGATATTAATAAAAACACATAATGTTTGCCGGCATTTGTTTTACTTTAGTAAACTGTTATTATGTCATAATAATTCAAGTAGTTTATTTGGCTGCAGTGCTATCATCCGAACCAACAGGGGGCGAGGCTGACTTTTAACATCTGTTGAAAGCAATGGAGACGATCAGCATATTTTGGTTATAACATGACTTTGAAGGCTACCATTTCTATCTAACTTTATACAGGACTTAATCGGTTTGATTTAAAACATGTTAGGGACATTATGTCGGACCGGCGGCGCTGTTTTTAAGGTAAAAAAACTGTTTATAAAAGCCTTAAAGTCTCTCTGCGCAGACGAGTTTGCTAGATAGCTTAGCTAGCTGCTTGCTAACATTAGCCATACTCTTACAATGTATTGGTTATGTCAACTGGTACCACCCATAGACTGTATATATAAAAGGTACCACCTAACATATAAGCTTCCTATATGTGCACGTGTATCATTAAACACAGTTATTTATCCAGAACACAACCAGAAAAAGTTTACCTGCGGAAATTTTGTAAAATTAGCTGTGTCTGCATGCTTTTGTCCAGCTTGTAATGAGCGCATATGTGAACAGGTGCAGATATTATTGTTTTGATATGAATAAATTGTGTATCTAAACGTATCTCTTTTGTTTTGGTACTGCACTACTATGTGATATGTCTGCTTAATGGATGAACTAAATACATTTTAAGCTCCAGTATGAAGCATGAATGTTTCAAGAGAAAATTGAGCCACGCTTTTACGTGCAATACGTAATGACGTAATTATGAATAGATAAATAGATAGATAGATAAGATACCCTGACCGTTTTTCCACAAACTAGACACTGTTTGTCTGTGAAATAGGGACATATGAACTGATTTATATATCACTACGTGTCTCCTATTCCTGCAGAACTCCCAGCAGTCTCTCCCCAGGCTGTGGGTGACTCTTTCCCAGCAAAGATGTGCTTCCCGATTACCAATGAACACCGTGGTGCTGTTTGTGCCGCAGCAGGAGGCCTGGGTGGTGCAGAGGATGGGCCGCTTTCACCGGATCTTAGAGCCGGTAATTATCGCCCTGTACACGAGGAGGCTATTATCACAAGGCACAATTTATCTATGTAAAGGTATACAAAATATAAGACTTATCATTTCCTGTCCTCTCTTCATAGGGACTCAACTTCCTCATTCCCGTTCTTGACAAAGTTCGTTACGTGCAAAGCCTGAAAGAGATTGTCATTGACATCCCCGAACAGTCGGCTGTATCTCTAGGTTAGTTTTTCCTCCAAATTACAAAAACAATTGTGCTTATTAGTGGTTCAAATAAGCTTTATACTGTGTGTTCTCTTTCTTTCAACAGATAATGTGACTCTACAAATTGACGGGGTCCTTTATCTGAGAATCTTGGATCCTTTGAAGGTATGCTTGTCATAATAAGCTAGAAACAAAAGAGCCTGGCAAAGGTGGGTGCTACCTGTGGGTTTTAGCTATAAGGGGGTAATTTAGGTTTAAATAATGGCAGATAATAAGATAACAATTCTGAGAAACAGTTAAAAAACACATTTGCATTTCACAGTGTTCGACAATTAATTTGGGACTAAAGGTCTTTTCAAAGGTGAACACTGGTGTCATAATGGAATAGCTCTGTTAAGCCAGCAGGTGGTGCCAGTCAATTGGATCATGTGTGAAATGATCCACCACACTGAGGCCTTCTTCTCTCTGCAGGCTAGTTATGGTGTGGAGGATCCAGAGTACGCTGTGACTCAGCTCGCACAAACCACAATGCGCTCAGAACTGGGCAAACTCACGCTGGATAAAGTGTTCAGGGTAAGAAACATCCGCACATCTTACTAGCAACAAAATAATGATGCACGTATTTACCTTTAACCTGCTTCTTCTCCAGGAAAGGGAGTCCCTGAATGCCAACATTGTGCGCTCCATCAACCAGGCGTCAGACGATTGGGGAATCCGCTGCCTGCGATATGAAATCAAAGATATACAAGTCCCACCTCGTATTAAAGACTCTATGCAGATGCAGGTAGGACACACACACACACGGACACACACACACACAAACACACACACACACACACACACACACACACACACACACACACACACACACACACACACACACACACACACACACACACAAATTTTGCAGGATCCTGCTTTCAGGCATCCCTTAAAAGTAATATATATATATACTTCAATGTATAAATATTGAGACAATTGAAGACTGTTTCTCAAGAGAGGTCCTTCAGGTTATGAGAATTAAACTAATTTTGTTTCTCAAATATTTGACTTCTTTCTCTGCGCATTGTTTCCTGTCCAGGTGGAAGCTGAGCGTAAGAAGAGAGCCACAGTGCTGGAGTCTGAGGGGATGCGGGAGTCGGGAATAAACGTCGCTGAGGGCCGCAAGCAAGCTCAGATCCTGGCATCAGAGGGGGAGAAGGCGGAGCAGATAAACAAGGCAGCCGGTGGGTGCATTTTACATTTGACTGAACAACTTGTTCAACTGGGATTTTCCATTGACCCGTGCACAAATCATGCCATCACAAATGTAATTGAAGGTCTTGTTAGTGTACGACTTAGGGGCCGTCATTACGGTAAATCCAGAAAGCATTTAATTGCATGCCTGCAGAATGTGTTGCACAAGGATCTGGTGACTCAGACTTTAAACAAATCAATCATGCGAGCACGTTTGGGAAGATATGAGCAAGAGGAATGTTGTAAAATGAGGTTTAAAGCGCACTTAAAAATACAAAATGTACTTTTCTGTGTCTCTAGGTGAAGCCCAGGCTGTGTTAGCCAAGGCAGAAGCTAAATCCAAGGCCATCCGTCTGCTGTCTGACGCTCTGGCTGAACAGGTACAACAGGCTCTATCCTGCATTATTTGGAGAATGATATTCCCGGTATGTGCCAGTAACTTCATTTTGGTTTCGTCTGCTAACAGAACGGGAATGCCGCGGCCTCCCTGAGTGTGGCCGAGCAGTACGTCGCTGCTTTCTCCAACCTCGCCAAAAAATCCAACACTTTGCTGCTGCCCTCCAACGCCGGGAACATCAGTGGCATGGTCACGCAGGTATGAGGAACTTTAACACAACGAATATACTAAATGTGTAATAATTTGTGCTACATAATTCATATTTGAATGATTAAATGAGTGATTCCTGAATCCTAACTATTGTGTTTTTGCTACCGTTAGGCCATGACTATTTACAGCAAGCTGGCCAAACAGAGTCCACCAGCTGAGAGCATGAAGACAGACGAGCTTCCAGTTCAGTCACCACCAGCCCAATAGCTATGGACACAAAAAAGACTTCCACAATTCTGCACTGAAGCGTCCCTGCTGTGAGGACTCGCTCAGTGTCTGGTGCTCTATCTCCTGCAGGGCACAGGATGTCGCAGCGGAGAATAAACAAAAAATGTGGAGCAAGGACGACTGGGAGAAGAGAAACTGATTAAATGACATGTGTTGGCGTTAAAGGGACAGTTCACACATAATTCACCTCTCACCTGTATCATTAATCTAGATTACTATGGTGTAAAACAAATGAGATTAGATAGCACCTCAGATAAGAGATATATGTTTGTGGTGAACTGTTCCTTTAAATGGACATTTGCAGGCTGTTATATTATTTATAACTGAATAAATATTTCAAGGCATTTGGCACCTAGTCTTGTTTGTTGGAATATAATTGAATATGCTTTTGTTTTTGTGTTTTCTTTTTACTTCCTTTGATGTTTGCAACCCTTAAGAAATAAAGTAACTACACCTTAAGAACCTGTCGTTTTTTAATATACAGAATAAATCATCACAGTGAAATCATTATTTGGGCAAATACTGTATTATCTGTATAAGTGAATAATGAAAATGGATATTAAAATTGCAACAGTATGGTTTCTCAAGTTTTTATATTTATACGACATTTCAGATATAAATGGTTTTATTATGATAATTTGGGAATGTATTGTTAATATGCGCTGGATCATATTAATAACTGTCATTCTACTTCAAAAATTCTGTTTTAAACCAAAGCTTTACGTCACAGAAATCAGTTTTGTTTAATTTAATTTCCTTTATTTCCTTGCTATTGAGTATTTTTACAGTGTAGTGCTAGTAATCTGACTTTAGTAAAGGACCTGAGTACTTCTTCCACCTCTTTATCGTGCTCTCATGATGAAATGGAGACAGCAATGAGAGGAATGTGGAATTTGGTTGTGCGGATTTCAACCCATAAAGCAAGCAGACACTTGCCGCTGCCGGGCGTGTGTGTGTGTGTGTGCGTGTGTGTGCGCGTGTGTGTGTGTGAGTCTTTAATCCCTGAAAAGGCTGGCAGTGACTGGCCCAAAAATCGGATGTTTTCTCACCCGAGCGTTTTCCCAGACACACCTCTTCCTCCTTCCGCCTGGTCGTCCTCCTGTCTGTCCATCTGTCTGCCCCATCATTTATTTCACAGTTGTCGGTAACTGCTTCACCCTGGGAATAAACTAGATATTATAATTTAAAAATAAAGCTTCCTCCCCTTGTTCTCCTCTTCATCCTGTAGGTCTAGAGGTGGAATAAGACTATACTTGAGTAAAAGGAGCAATACAAAACTCTCCAAAAGTACAAAATATACTTAACTAGCTAAAGAAAAAGGACACGTAATGGCGTACTACTGTTCATGACACACATGCCAGCAGCCTCAGGGCGGTATAGTTAAGCAGGTATGTAAAGTTTGCCATTTTAAGCACCTTCAAACGGTAAAACCAGAGGGGGGGAGAAGCCAGAGAAGAGGGGAAAAGGGGGAAGGAGGAAGACAACGATGCAGCTTGATGAAGTGGAAAGGAGGAAGAGGTGTTTGCAGCTGCAGGCGGGAGGGCAATTTCAAGGTTTTATGTCTGTCCTGCCGTTGAAAAAGAAACGCAGCCGACATAAAGCAGTGAGGGAGAGAGAGAGAGAGAGACAGCAAAGGTATTATCAGCTCATAAAAAGGCACTTAGAGCAACACACAAATTCATCACAGCTGGCTGCTACTGCGCGCACACACACACACACACACACACACACACACACACACACACACACACACACACACACACACACACACACACTTTTAGAGGCAGCTGCTTCTGTTATGAGGAATAACTAAAACGGAAGGACAAAGAGATAAGAAATCTGTGAGAAAGGGAAGATTGATTTCACAACTGAAACTCTCTCCAGGCAATTTAAAGAGGACATATCATGCTAATGTTCAGGTTCATATCAGTATGTAGTGTCTCTACTGGGACATGTCTCCATGCTTTAATGTTCAAAAAGCCCTTTATGCTTCTCATACTGCCTGTGCTGCAGCACCTCCTATCACCCTCTGTCTGAAACCAGAGCCCTATCACGTACTATGGGTTGGAGCGCTAGCCAATAGAAGCACAAGTGTTACATAGTCCTTATGTTCATAAAGTAAAGAAAGGGGTCCAACGGACGCGTTTCAGGCAGGTGGGGGGGACTTTTTTAAATATTTATTTTTTCCTTTTGTGACTCTCCCGCTGTGGGACGAATAAAGGACTTTTGATTATATTAAAAAATGAGAATGATGGCATAGGAAGTTTCTGCAGACACTAATAAAAATGTTTAGGGGGTGGGGGGAATAATGGACAAATATAATAAGCTATTACGAACGAATCATCTCCATGAAATCCTTCACTCCGCCCACCAGATACAATCCTTCCAATCATGCATTATTCCTCATTCACTCCACCAGGACGTCTGAGGGCAGGACGCACATTCCCTCTGTTAGATTAAACACCAGAAGCAGTTTTTCTTAAAACCTCCGTTTGGAAACAGGATTTGGAATAAGCTCTTCCCTCTTTGATGTTTCACAAAGGGTCAGGAAAAGTTGATTTAGAAAGAAAAGAAGGGAGACAGACAGAGCTTTGCCCCGGAGGTTCACGCGGAAGAAACAGGAGACAGATAAAGAGGGAAGGGATAATCTGCGAGAGGGAGGGAGGGAGGGAGGGAGGGAAGAGCACAGCTGTTGTGTGAAGAGAAAATAAAGATAAAGAAAGCCAGGAGGTGCACAAGTGTGAAGGGCGAAGGAGAAAGGGATTGACGCAGAAGTTGAAGGTCAAAGCAACTGAGGAGATTAACGGACACCTGACATCACAGTAACAATGGAGACGCAGCAGGAAAAGAGGACTTACTTCCTTTGAAGTGGAAAAGAAAAGGAGCGGTGTTTGAGGGAAGAAGGGGACACCGTTTCCTCACCATGTTTCATTCAGCTGGCTTCCCAAATTCTAACAACCTGCGCCGGAAGAGCAACTTCGTCCCGGGATAACATGACGAGAGGAGCCAAGAGATACCTGCCGACTCTGTGATACCCTCCTCCTTTTCCTCCTCTCCTCTCCTCCTTCCTTCCTCCCTTTCTTTCACTTTAAATACACTCACTTCCTCCTCCTCTGCCCTGATATCTCCTCTCCTCTCCATCTCCTCACTATGTGGATACCAGCTTTGCTCATATGGATTCTTAACAGCAGCTATCTGTGCGCAGCGCAAGACTACCCGGACTATTCTACAATAGGAGACATGGGCACCGAGGTGAGACATTTCATTAATCATCATCTTTAAAAAGTCCTTTTAGTAACTTCTACAGCCTGGACATAAGTGTAAACTGGTGGGGAACGTAACATTCAAGCCCTGTTTACTCAGGAAGTCTCATTGAGATCAAGAGCTCTTTCACTAGACAACAAAACATCACAACAAGACAATGCAGACACACAGTGATCCACCCTGGGGGTGTATGGGTAGTGGCAAGCAGCAGCATGACCTACAGGATATCTCTCTAATTCACCACATTGTATTTGTTCTATTTTGTAAAGAACCAAAATACATTTGGGTTTCAGAGTTTCAAAGCAAACAAGTGTTTATAATGCTGTAATGTATCTATGAGATATACAAGAGTATAGAAGGGATATCAATAAGCTGTTGTGAAATGCAAATATTTAGTTTTTTTGGAGCTTAGTGCTAGATTTTAATTGATAAAAGAGGTGGGGATGCGGTAAATAATAGCAGACTGTGATTATGGTGTATGAGATGGTACATGGCAATGCTCAGATGATTAAATAAGTAGAAAAGAAAGGGAAGTAGTCATCGTGACATTACCTAAAGCCAGTTAAACCCCACGGCCCCGAGGGCGGGGGCAAAACACAACATCTTGCAAGAAACAGCGTCTGAGGGCTTCTTAACATTTAACAAACTATGAATGTGTCATATCCACTTAACGGGAAGAAACTCAGCTTTCAGACACAATTAACCATTTTTAGCTAAACGAAACACAAGGGTAATAACAAAGGCTCTGTATTAGCCCTGAGCAAAAAAATGCTAACGCACTTAGCACAGAACTCACGGTAAAATACCCTTATTACTTATCGGATCTGCACAAACAAGATATCGATTAGCAAGCTGAGATTCCACAGATTCCAGAAATATAAGTATCATCACTGAGTGATCAGAACTCGTGACAGGGGAAGCAAACCCTGCTTAAAAAACGCTGCAGAAGATTAATCCAATGTGTCTGAAGTTATTACTGATAATCCATCTTCATATTTATGTCAATAACGGAGTTTTCATATTAGCTGCTACGAGAGTGTATGACAGCTACCGGTTTTGGGCATTCTGGCTACGCATCACTAATTCACCCATGGTTAATGTTTAGATGGATTTTAGGAACTTCCCCTCGATTCTATTGGCTCTAACGGTTAACAAGGGGTGTCAATCATCAAAATCCAGAGGGGGGCCAGAGATATGGAAAATGCACCCAAATGACCCCAGAAGTGTTTTTTTCTTCTTCTAAATCTCTCTAAAAAAGTCAAATCTCACTTGTTTTGCATCAATCTTGATACAGGGTACTTACTATATGTTATAATGTGGATTCCTAAAGATTTTAGTCTCCAATCCCATCATTCAAGGGTGGTTTTCACTATAATAATGTTTTCTTTTTGGACGGACACTATAATTTAAAGTGGACCCATCATGCTATATTTGAATAATATAGTGTAGGACCATACCTATATAAGGCATATTTATACTTTTTATTTTTCAAAATACCAAACAGATCATGCATTTTAGCCATTCCTCATTTCGCTCAATGTAACACTGTCTTTGCATGGGCTGATTCTGTGAGAACAGCACCATCTACAGGCCAGGCATATGTACTACAGCGTCTCCAGCGCTTTGGAACGGCAATGTCCGTGGCTGTCTCCTCCTGATTGGTGGAGTTGGCCCAATAGCCGTAGCGCCACTTCTGTGACGTCATAGAAGTGTTCAAATCTGGATCAGTCTGTATCAGATCCGTTGCAGCCCCTTTTTAAGAGATTTGGGTATGGAGGAAAATAGAGAGGGTTGTGTTTTCTGACACTTGGTGAGTTCCCTGGAACACCGGGGACACATATTCATGTATAAAAGACGTACAAAAGTGCATTTTGCATGATAGGTCACCTTTACATTTTTTCTGAATTTACTTTAAAATAAAATAATTCTATATTGATTCTGACTCTTCTACATCCAACTCACAGGTTTATCATTTCTTTGAGAAAAAAGATTATTAATTTACCCCTTTTCGAAGTGAAGATATGGTAATTTGTTCTGGGAATGTCATTTTCGATTTTCGAGGCTCGGGGCTTAACTGGTTTTAAGGACTATAGAAAAATATGGAACTAGAAAAAAGACAATACAGTAGAGCAAAGTACAGCTAAGACATTTTCAGGCGACCGAAATGCTAAAATGAAATCTCATGAAATGAAAACCCACTCTGAAGGTGTAACCCAAAAACATAGAACACTGTGGAAGCGACCTGTCAATCACAAAGTTCCCTCCAGAGGGAGTTTCTCTCCCACACACTTCCCCCCTCCATTGGACTCCTTTGTTTACTCTCGGAACATAGTGACATCATGATGCAACACTTGCACTTCTATTGGCTAGCCCTCCAACACATTGTACATGACAGGCTAAGGGGAGGGACATCCCTAAGCAGTTGACCAATCAGAACAGAGCCGGCCAGCTAACCAATCAGAGCAGACTGGGCTCTGGTTTCAGACAGAGGGTGGTGCAGCACAGGCAGTATGAGAGAGCTTTTTGAACATTAAAGCATGGAGACATGTCACAGTAGAGACATAAAATACAAATATGAACCTGAAAATGTGCGCAATAGGGCCCCTTTAAATATATTTTACAACATTATTACAATTACCTCAATTAAATAGCAAAACACTCCAGGTAGTAGTAATCATCCAAAGGGTTTAATGTCTTTCTACTCCTGTTTCTGCAGTGAATTTCTGAGTAATAGACAGCGTAAGATTTGGTTTCAGATAACTATTTTACTGTAAATGCCGTGCATGAGCCAGCAGGAATATTTGTTGTTCTTTCCTGGAAGTGTCTCTGGAGATGAGATAAAAGCTTTCCCTCTCTAAAAGCTATGCGTCACGAGATCCTCTGACATTTATTAATATTAAAATACAAGGGATTGTGTTCAAATCCACTGGAAATCCAATCATCTTGGAACTGAATTAAAGGAATCCTAGTGACATAATAAGATGGGAGTATAAACAAAAATTAAAATGGTGTTGTTGTTTCTTGTAAATGTTTGCACTGGCAGAAAGAGTGTGTGACGATTGCATTGGGTGTGTGCATGTGCGTGTGTGAAGTTAATTTAATGCTGTACCCCAGAGCACCAGTCATTTATACATCATGACCACATCGTCCAATGACCTCATGTCATGTGATCACTTAACAACACGAAGTAGAGGGAGAAGAAATGATATAACTTTTTCAACTATAAAGTGTTGGACTCAACTTACTTTGATTTCATGCCATAATTCATTTCCAGCCTTACATACAGAAGCCAGAATCTTATATGAAATCAGAATCGTTTTTTAAGGGTACACATTACGATGAGTCATATCGGATGGCTAGAAACGAACAGAAAGGGGGGAGGAGGAAAAGAGAGAAAGAGATATATCCACTGATAGCGTCAGAGATCTGGTTTCTGTTAAGGTGATGCCAGCTGTACCAGTCTGCTTCTCCTCCGCCTGGGAAACTAAACAACTACGCTCACTCCTCGGGGGAAGAATTAATATGTGACACACAAACATTCGACTGACATGTAGTCCCCACAGCAGCCAGTCTGTTACACCATTAACCCTTCATCTTGTGTGTAGTGTGTCTCTACGGAGTGGAACAAAGTCAGAGAAACCATTACAGGATGACTCACAGGAGGAACGGAGCTACTGTAAACCGAGATCTTCCCTAATAGTACAATAAGTGCAGTTGCCAGACCTTGAAGTTACATGAAAAGTGAACTTGTGGTTTTTGAAATAAGACATTTAATGCTGCATTTAAGGACTGCTCCGAAGCTTGCACATAGAAGACTTAAAGCTTATCTTGTAATGGAGGGCACATCGAGGAAGTGTGCCAGGAAATATATCAGAAGGCCCTAGAAACATTTCAGATTGCAGCATCTTGCTCAGGGGCATGTGTGTGTGTGTGTGTGTGTGTGTGTGTGTGTGTGTGTGTGTGTGTGTGTGTGGAGAGGACACATATTAGCTATCAGTGGAGATACTGCAGAAAATCACATGCCTGTTTTTTCCCTTCTTGTTGATTTCATCCACCACGCTTCCTGTCTACAGAAAAGGGGTTTTCCCAAATAATTATTGGTTAATTCACATTTCTCTGCATATTTACTTCCTGTCTGCAGGCTCCAGAACTGTCAGATGACCAGCCCAGTTTGGAGTCAGTGACGAGCGTGGATCAGCTGTTACAGCTTCTGTACCCAGAATACAACCTGCTTCAGCACTGCCTGAGGAAGAAGTCATGGCCCTCCTCCTCCTCCTTCCCCTCCTCAGCGAGCCCTCTGGTCCACTCTGACCTGGAGGATCTGTGGGGTCAGCCCCGCGAGGAGGCGCTTTTTAAAGAAGACAGGACTTTCTCAAGTAAATGTTTTATAACTCCTATAAAGACCAAAAATCTTACTATAAATCCTCTTCAATGCTTTTTGAGCTCATTCTTGAAACACTACAGTGAGCTGCCAGAGAGTTTCCCCACACTTAATCACATGTGTTTTCATTTGCCAGTCATCTTAGAGGAGATGCGGCGGACCTCCTGCCAGCCCAGAGAAGTGTGTGTTGAGGTGGCCAAAGAATACCCAGGATCCACCAGTCAGTTCTTCCTGCCTCGCTGCGTGGCTCTTTACCGCTGTGGCGGCTGCTGCAACAACGAGGCGTTCTACTGCACCAACATCAGCCACGCACTGGTCAACAAGACGGTAAGAGGAGGGAGAGGAGGTACTCTGATTTCCATACTGAAGTACAAGTATCTCAAATTGCACTTATGATGTTCAATGGGCCCAGCTTTGTTCTACTTCTCAGATTAACTCAACACTCAGATGACAGCATGGTGTTGGTATGTGTGTGTATGCATCACAACCCGCCCTACTGCAGAGGGACCCTTTAAACTGCACACCACTACAACACACAGTCACGCACACTTACACAACCTCAGTCTCATTACATCACACGGCTGAAATCACTTCAGTCATTACCAGACTTTAATTATTCGAGAAGATCTTAAAAACTGAATAACTTGGCCAACATGAAAGCAGAAAAGAAAAAGCATGCACAATTTAAATCGTTTTGTACTCACACACCTTGGTCTCTTCCTCCTCCCAGTTGATAGAGCTGTCCCCGCCCAGGATGGAGCGCTCCGTCGTCATGGTAACATTTGTCAACCACACTTCCTGCGATTGCATCTCGAAGCGGCCTCTGCACTCCATCATCAGACGAGCCGCGACAGATCACCTGTGAGTCAGAGAGAGGAGTGACGCGCATGTGAGAGAATATTTCTGACTCATTGTATACATGCAATACTAATAATGCGTGTGTGTGTGTGTGTGTGTGTGCAGGTGTTCCCCACCCGAAGTCCCCTGTGCCTCGGGGTCATTATGGGATTCAGTGAACTGTTTGTGTGTCTCTAGAGACGCCATTAACTACTCTGAGAGAGAGACAGGTACATGATTTATTAGCATAAAGTATAAAACTTTGATTTCATTTGTATGTTCCAAATCCATTACATTTCATCAAAACCCAAAGATTTTCACTTTTTATGAACTAAATCTGGGAAAATCTCCATATTAAAGAGGCCCTATAATGCTTGTTGGGGTTTTCCAAGAGAACCTCTTGCAATTGAATTCCCTGGAGGGAGCTAATTCAGCTGTAACAAAAGACTTTTACATTTCTTTGCTTGCAGGACCTAAATACCTTTTGTTTGTCTCCACGTGGCTCTCAGAGGCGCTGGACTCGGGGCTGCTGGCTCTCTGCGGGCCGAACCGGGTTCTGCACAAGTCGTCCTGCGAGTGTGTGTGTCACAACGGACTCACAGAGGACAGCTGCGACCCGGGCTGGAAACTGTCCCACAACACCTGTAAGCAGGCTTTCAAGCTACCCACATATCTTGAATTATATATAGTAGATATTCAAGACTTTCTTTTAAAGGACACCCATATTAAATTACTTATACATACACTTATTACACAATAGACATGCTCCTTTTTTGTGAGAAAATGGTTAAAGAAACACACATTTGTCTGTAGTTACCTCCTGTTTGAAGAGGTCGATTTACTGTAAATAAACCACATTGTTAAGAAAAAGGGGCCGGCATCCTGAAAGCACCCGGGCCAGATCGAGCCAGGATGATAAACACAGGGAAGTTTTAGGAAGCAAAATATCTAACAAGTCAGAACCTGAGCTCCAAATATTTAGCAACAACAGCGAAACCGATATCTGATGAAGCTCTCTCCCCGCAGGTGAATGTCAGTGTGAAGGTCAAGGCGAGGGGAAGTGGTGCCCCGCCGGCCAGCGCTGGGATGAGGAGCTGTGCGGGTGTGTGTGTGCTGCAGAGTGTCCCAGGAACCAGCCGTTGAACCCCGACACCTGCCTGTGTCAGTGCAGGGAGAGTGGGCCGTCCTGTATGCTGCAGGGCAAGAAGTTCATCCCTAACTCCTGCAGGTAGGCTCACAACAGAACGAGCAATCTGTCCCGTGCTTTCTCAGTTCTGCAGACTTTCCCCTGTGGAAAAAGGAAAGGAAACACAGTCTCCTTTGGGGGATGGAATTATTCCAAGGATCCACACTTTCTGCCAACTGCAATTTGAACCCCTTCTGCCCTTAGCCTGAAAAGCCAAGCTAAGCAAACATTTCTATCTTGCTTTAATATTCAACTAAAGGGACCATTACATTCTCTCTCTGTGAAGTGCAGGCAGAGCTTACATGAGCCAAATGTAACAAAAGTGTCATTCAAGAGAGAGAAAAGGGGACCTGTGGACTAAAAGCAAAGTTTCAATAACAAAATATGCTGTGTTTTTATAACTTATTTAGGCAAATGAGATCAAAATAAGCAAATAGCTTAGAAATATGAGAAAAGTGAGCCATCTTACATGGTGACAGGGCGATTAAACTAGTACATTATTAACATAATAAAGGCGGCAAGTCGTTTTAGGGACTTCCATGTGAAAATAAATGCACTTATTTTGTTCTTTAATGCTCTAAGACAGTGTTTGGAGAATGCATAATGGCGAGAGAGTTCTTGGGTGGCAGAAACTTCAGTCGTTCATCATAAGTGGTTTGTACTGGGGGAACTGATGCAGTCTGCTGATCGGCCCTTAGGGTGCCATCACAAAGCTTTCTGTGGGAGAAAAAGGGGTGAGGAAAGAGTGAGAACCAGAGCTTGGAGAGGGGGAGAAAGCAAGCAAACTCTCAATGGACATGTCATACATTCCGAACTCGAGAAAATATTTCGCTCACATGTTTCCATACGACCTTTTATGGACACAGGTCCAAGTGTTGTTCATGTAATGCATGCGTGTCGTGGTTTCCCACAGCCAGCATGCAAGGGATCAACCTCCCCCTGACCCCAGAGGCCTGCAGAGAGACAGACGGGCAGGCTGGAGCAGCGTGATGACAGTGAGCAGAGACCGAGAAAGGGACAAGGAAAAACATATATGATTGATTTCCTATCATGTGGGAAAGTTCACCAACATACGAGCAAGTAATGGAAGGACCTCTCTGAGCTCGAGAGACCTTTACAATTGAGCAAATCACTGTTTTAACACTAGAATGTAAGAATAAAGCAAGCACATTCATATCACATTGATTTCCTTTGATAGTATAATTCAACATCTGGTCACAGGAGGTGGTGCACGGAAGACAATGCACCTACTGTGATTTTGAGGATGAGTTCCCAGAATTTGGCCATATCTCCCTCTCCGGAGACATGCTCCGTCTTTTTCTCACGCACAGAAACGTTTGATGCAAAATAAAACTTGGATCAGGGGTTTTATCCGAACGAGATCTGAATGATTGAACATGCCAAGAGAAAATCCCCTGTGTGTTCTTTTTTATTTATTCTCCACGCCTCTCATCCGCCCTTTTGCATCATTTGGTCTACTTTTTCCGCCTCCTAATTCTTTGTACTCTTCTTTTTTTTTCTACCTCTTGATCGTGTTTTTTCTGGCTTTCTCCTCTGTCTAGTTGTTACAAGTGGCCGTGCAGAAAGCCCCAACCTGTGTGCCAGGCGGGTAACTACTACAGCGACAAAGTCTGCCAGTGCATCTCCAACAACTATAGGAGTCAAGACCAAGAGTATTTCCCTTCAACATGAGGCTACATTTAGGGGGGGGGGGGGGGGAAGGCGGAAATGCCTCTTTACAGGAAGGTGGAAGGACACATTTACATACTGGATTATAACAGCATCCTGGAGGAGTTTTATTAATGCTCACTGTTCTGAGGATACTTTCAAGTGGAACAGAAAAGGCAGGGAAACTCATAAAAGTGGAGAAAATGAGGATGTGTTTGACTCTCTGAGACCTCTGACTGGAAGCAGGTAATCACACCTGCTTAAAAGCTCCACAGCGAGGGGGGGAATCAGACTCCTTGGCAGCGCTTACCCCTGCTGCAACGTGTTCGAGCAAGACCTTCAACCACTCATGACTGTGTGAAATGGAAAGTGGAATAAAATAATGACAGACTAGACTCCATGCTCCTCATTTTTTTTTAGATTAAATATGCTGCAGGCCCTTTGGCAGTGGTGGGATATTTGAGAGGTTGAAGGATTTATTTTGCATGTAATGTGATGTTGCCGGGCTCTCGACGTGGAAATGGTGACAGTATGTTTTGGTGATGCACCAGAGGCTGTTTCCAACAAAAGAACAACAAAAGAGATGGAGTAAAGCTTTTTCTTTTTACCTAAACGTCTTAATTTTCCTTCAGCCTTTTTGCTAGAGAAAGAGGCAGAACTTGTTTAATCAAACGCTAATTTAAACACTCCCAAACACCTATTATATCCTCCAGTTTCTACTTGCCTGTCGAGCTGCAAGTGTCTGATCACAATCGATGGGAACTCAAGTAATTTAACTTTACACTCTTGAGTAATATTATTTGTAAATATTTAAACGTCATATTTAATACTGATATTTTTAAATATGGAATCATGTATTTAAGTCTCTACCCTAACTAAATGTTGTTTTGCGATTCTTGTATTCTGCAGTTTTTAATAACTATGAAAAATTGTGTTTTTAATTGTCCGCACTGCAAGATTCATATGTAAGCTTTAAAAAAACAATGACTTAGGGCTACATGTTGGGATGAAGATTTACGTAGAGATGATTGTAGCGTTTGTGCTATGGATGTAAAGAAAAACGTCTTTTATCATGCTACTATTGAATATTTTGTGATTTTAAAGTATTAAAAGCCTTCTCTGACTGATATATACTGTGTCCCTGTTTGTAAAAGCATTCTGGCAGAGACAACATGTGAGGAATATGCTCTGCTTTAATATTTTAGAAAACAATTGGCATTTAAAGTGCAACGTTTGGGCAGTTATGAAATAAAGCTAAATGCTAACCTATTGCTACACAGTAGCGTGGCGTGGGAAAAAAATTAGGGGAAGCCAATAATACGTCCTTTCTTTTGGGGGGGGGTGTCAAATAACGTAACCAGATGAGTGATTACAGCGCCAGGTATCATTTTACACACATTTGTATCATACAGATGCAGGACTTACACACGCCTGTTATCTGACCGACAGGTCCGCACGCACTCTCCAGCCGAAACTCTAATAAGCATTCATTCACAAACTAAATCAGGAGACCTTTAACGTTTTACGTCCGGTTCGCTCCTTTGTTCCTCGCTGTACACAGCTCCAGTTTGGGCATTGGCCTGTCATCAGATTGTATTTGTTGTTGCTGCTGCAGCGGAAGTTTATACAATATAATAACTCCAAATCTCTCAACACGCCCTCATATTGGCACTTGCTCAGTTGCTTGCTACTTCTAACGGCGGTGATGAGTGGTGTCGTGACGCTACTCTATCTTCTATCTATTAGATTTATGATTCGAAATTATAAAGGTTAGGTAGACATGTGAATATTATCTGACTGAAAAAAACGCTGCATTACCTACAGGTTCGTTGTTCCACTGACCTTTTGTTCGAGCTGTTTTCCAAAAATCCTATGTGAGAAATCCCATTGCTGGTTGTCGAGGCGAAACCGGCGCAGCTTACTTCGCTTTTTGGGGGACGCGTCACTGCACCACTATTGATGCGATTTGATTGGATGTGAGGCAAGGAAGCCAGCTGCTCTGCTTCCCTTCGCGATGGCCCTGCCAATCACAGGTGGCAGGGCAGACGTTGACCTCATTCTGATTGGTCAATCCCTCCTTTTTTTCCCAAGGGAAGCAAATTTCCGGCTGGCGTCCTCTCGGCAACCAGAGAGTGCAATCTACTGTTTCACCACTAACATCTAGAGGGGCGCTGGAGGAGACGGCCGCAGCAAAACACACGACATAAGATTTCCGAAACTAAACGAAGTATTTTTATTTCTCTTCTTAAATGCTAACAATCGAAAAACAGGGGAAGCCTGCTTCCCTTGGCCTCCAGGAGAAACCGCCACTTTGCTACATCAACTAATCTCAGTTATGTTACACTAGCTAACATTAGCCACCATGTGCTACGCCATACCATGCTAACTTAAAGGGCCTTCATATTTTCCAGTTTGTGTGAATACTTTTTACATATAATTCGAATATTATGCTGTTTAAATAAGGTCTTTATATCCGGAACAAGGTCATTCTTTATGAGCTTGTGCGTTCATGGAATGATAAAGACAGTTGAAACACTTAATTATTGAATTTTTAAGAAACAAGTGGTTTACTGCCCCAGAAGTCAACCAATAATTGTAAGAGCAAGGAGTATGCTACCTTTTCCCTCAAAGGTTGCTTTAACTGTACTATCTTTGTGTCCCTTAGCGAGGGGTTTAGCTTAGACAAAACACACACCACCGGTGGGTGGTGAACTCTGACTCTTCCTGCGGTTTCCTGGTTTCTTCCTCCTCGGCATTCTCTCTCTTCCTGTCTGCGGTCTACCACAACAAAACATGAGTTCACGATTGGTAAACTAAGACGTTCTCCTTTCTGTCTGCATCCGTTACTTAATTACTCGCTAGCTGAAACACATTCAATCTGTGGATCAGGATGTTATATCACTGACAGATGACAAAGGGGGGATTTATTCCTTTAAATTACCCTGAAGTGTCCATGAAGCTCTCTGTTGGTCAGCTCCTTTTAAATAAGGAAAATGTGATTACAATTTAAACATTTTGGATGTTATTCTCCAACAAACCGGAGTTGCTGAGCTATTTGAAGTAATTCATCAAACATTTAAAGCCAAAGAAGTTTTCAATGTTGAGGAATTGTCTTTTGGAGAGCGTCCACATAACTTATTGTTCATTACTCAACAGCACGACTGTCCAAATACCGCTGTCTTATCTGTCGCCCGAGCATCAAAACCTTTTATTTCAAGATGTGGCGCAAACTGCTCATTCCTCAGATGGAGCCACAACACAGCGTGTGAAAGCAGGCCGGAATAGTTGCAATTTGAAATCAGTGCGTTTATTTTTGTTTACCTGAAGAACAAAAATATAAACCCAGATCAATACTCTGCCCCTTATATAATAAGCCAGTGAAACTCTTCCAAATATGTTACAAAAGATAGAAAATAAAACATAAATAAATATGCTCCTGCTGCTGCTGAGTATTTAAAAACGGTAAACCTGTGGTTTGCACCAAACATTCCCGTAAAAAGAGAAAAGGTTTATAGAACAGTAAAGATCATCGTATGGGCTAGTTGAGGGAATAGTTAGATATACAGAATATGTTAAGCTGCTTGCACTCACAGTGAATATAACACGAACTTTGCCAGGATGTTAGAGCGCACTGGCACATGTATGTTATTGCTAAAAAATATAGCTTGATGTCAGGAACGTCCGGTCCAGAAGAATACGTGGAGCAGCTTAGTATTGTAAATCTTCAGTTGCAAATAAATTATAATATTTGTGTTTTGCTAACAAAAAAAGTGTTATATTTGAGTGATCTTGTGCACACTTCCCCGTGCTAGTGTGAAGACTAGCTTTGTAGCTAGTAAACCCCAATAGGATGGTGAGTGTCAAACGTAAGGTAGAGTGCGGGGATAGCAGTCCAGTATCAAGCGCCGCGCGTTGTGTGGACGCATGGAACCTGTCATAAGCTTCTCCAAGGTGTTACAATAATACATTGTTGACTGTATAAGCAGTACTCCAGACCCCTCAGTATCTTGCGAGCAGTGCAAAAAGCAGTCCGTCCGTTCTATGCTAGTGACGGAATATGCATGGTTACTCCTGATCTAGAAGTCGCATCTGCTCTCATACGTCAGTTTTTTGTTTCACAGCTTTCAGAAGTCGTATGTTTAAGCCACATTAAATCCTCCAGATGAAGCAGCTGGAAACATCACCGGCGGATCCAGAGCAGGCACTTCGCTGTACTGCTAACTGGTCTGACGGCTTTCAGTCCATTTTAATCGTTTGTTTATCGAGCGGTTTTCCCATACGGCCGCTCCCGGGCCTTGTGTTACCAGGAGCCTGCGCATGACTGTGCGGATCTCACACCCTTCAGTCTTTGCCACTGATGCACGAGTTGCGGCTCAGTGACCTTCCGGGGACGATTGGTGTCGATCCTGGAGAGGTTTGGTATTCGTGCGGGGTTCCTGTCCATCTATTGTTACCCTCCAAAAGTCCTAAGAGCTGACATCTTTGAGTCAAGCACGTACAAAATGTGTTACTGAACGAACAACTTGGATTTATGACACTGCTACCCAATGAGGTGTCGGTACTGTTTCCATACCATTGTGCCGCACGAAGTATCATCTGTTCTCCGAGCTTCTCTCATACACAGCTGCACTTGACTCGGTCCACGGCTGAGGCTGCGCGCTACGAATCTGAATGCGTACCTTGCACGCCTCGGTGTCACAGATAACCGTATTTGCGTACCTGACGTACTCGTGAGCTTCTTCCAGATCGGCGCGGCTTACTGATCCACCCGGTGATCAAGAGTCGGTTCGGCAGAGACAGGCTGCTTGTTAACCGGTCTGTTACAGCAGCACTGCGCTAAAACAGCTGATCAAACGTTACGGGACGCTCTGCCCTCACGAAGCTCGTCACCCCCCCCCCCCCCGCCGACATGGAACTTGAGGGGAGCCAATAAGTTGGAGCTACCAAACACTGAGCTCCAGTTATCATCGCAGTAGCTACTGATAAAGTTGGTGCACCCCGTTGACTATACTAGTCCTCATAAGGGCGTCGGTAAATTCACGAGGTAGTAGAGGCGGATAAGGGGAGAGGCGGTATGCAGAAAAAAAGTGAATAATGGTCATTATTTAAACGTGAGTTGTCGTGCTGTAACGCCAGAGATGTCCCGCCGCCTGAGGAACAATTAAAATATGTCCGATTTAATTTTGTAATATCTATTTCATGACTCACCCTCGTCGTCGGAGTGCGAATCCAAAGAGCTCTGGAGCTTCTTCAGCTTGAGGACCCTGCAGATCCTCGCGCTGTGGTGAAGGTCACGAAGCAGTTGCTGCAGCGTTGTCTCTGCGAGACGCTGCAGCGCAGTCTGCAGAGGGGGGGCCTCTTCTGAGGCCAACTGAGAGAACGGGCAGCTCCTTCCTCCCGCTTCGGCAGATCCCCTGATGTGCTTCTCATCCAGGGTAGATGCAGTCGCGGTGGGACGGCACATACGGCCTCCTACTCGTACCGTAAGAACTCCTGTTTCCAGCTTCCTTTGCTGCTTGTCCGTTCTTCAGTTAGAATGTAACCAGGCTGCTGGGGTAGAGAGCTCGTGTGACCTCTTCCTTTTTTTTTCTGTTTTGAGCTTTCAACCGTCCTTCTCGCGCGTCACGAGGCTCCTCAGTCGCTGAGGCACCACTCTGATCTGGCGACGTTTTCTTGCAATCTCGGAGTCACCTCCCTCTGTGTACATTTTGCGGCTCCTTATTTGGCTGTGTTGGGGTGAAATGGGGGAGTTTCCTCCGTTGTTCCCTTCTGTGTTTCTGTATCTCGCCGACACCAGTAGCGGCTCGTCTGCTATGTGCTAGCCTGTTTCTCGCAGATTGGACTTCTTTAACAGAGATGCTTTGCTCCACACCCTTGGGCGTTTTCTTATCAACTTTTTTACGAGATTGGTCCTGCTTTCCCTCTTTCTCTTTTGGGTTTCCTGTGACCTTTGCCTACCGTGCGTGTGTTTCTCTCCTGAGGTGTTGGGTGGTGCCCGGAGAGAGTCAGAAGCCGGTGTAGCGAGCACGAGAGTAGAGGAGTGCAGAGCGTGGCGAGAGGCTGTGAGCAGACGTGGGTCTGGTTGGACGAGAGTCTTCTGCGCGGAGCGAATCGGCCGATGCGTGGTGTGTCCGAGAGCGCTGATGGTAGAGCGTGGTGAAGCGAGCCGGGTTGTGCGCGGAGGCGGGCCGCGTGCGGTTGAGTGTGTATCCGCCACGTTTGCTGCGAGGAGGGGTGGGTGGGCTGAGGTGTCTGTGACTCAAACGCGGTGGGAGCTGCCGGACAAGTAGCTGTAGAGATTGTTTTGTTTAACATATTCTTTTTCATCTGCTTGTCATCTTAGACTGATTCGGTGATTGATGTTTCTGTAAATTCGGCAATCATCCTGACGTGGCAAACTCTTTCTTCTTCTTTGACTCGATCTGTCTCGCTTTAGCGTTCCAGCCACATTTGACTGTTTGGAGCATCCGTCGTGTTCTCATCATGCACAGCCACCTTTGCCTGTCGGAGGACGCGCTCTGCCTT